CCCTCCCTCCCTCTCTCTTAAAAGGGAATCCCCATGTTTACAAATTGAAATCCAAAATGCACAAGCGGGTCAGTTCATGATTCTGTGACCCATGAACGTCTGTAGGTCTGGGCTTCCTTGGGAATCAGTAGCAGCCCGGGGAGCATTGAGCCAAGCCTGCCCTAGCTGGAAAGGAATTCTGCAGAGGGAAACGGTGAGGAGGCCTGAGCGCTCCCGGCCTGGTTAGCCTCTGGTTTGGACTTCCAGAGACATGTCTGCACTCAGCTTCTACTAGTTTTATGGGCTGCATTTTGAGTCTACTTTTTTTTTTTTTTTTTGAGGTGGGTTTTTCTAAACTCCTTATAGAAACTGAGACAGGAGTCTGCATTTTGAATTTAAGAGAAATAAGAATGAGATAGGTAAATGGGGCTCAAATCTGTTTACCGAAAATAAGAACATGGGGTGGGGGAGAGGGCTGAGTGAGCAGAGTGCTTGTTGGGTAAGCACAGAGAGCTGAGTTTGATCCACCGCACCCTGTCAAAGCCGGGTGACAACGTCTGTCACCCAAGCCATCGGGAGGAGCAGACACGCAGACTGCAGGGATTCCCAGGACTGTAGCGGTGGAAATTGTGAGGTCTAGGTTTGGAGAGGAACCTCGTCCTGAAAAATAAGACAGAGGGTGGTGGGTAAGATTGCTCCCTGGGTTCAACTCGCAGCCTGGGTTCAATCCCCGGGACCTCCATGGCAGAAAGGGAGAACTGATTCTGGCAAGTTGTCCTCTGACCTGAACACACACGCACCCAGAATAAGTTCTAAAAAAGAAAAAAAAATGTAGCTATAAAATGACAATAAGGTCGAGACTAGAGAAAGACAGCTCTAGCCTTCACCGGCACACACACACATACCACACATGTCCTTAAAGGAAAAGGAGTGAGGCACCTTCTCTTTAAACCATAACCTCTAAAATAAGGAGAAAATTCTAGAACAGAACATTAATTTTATATCTGCCTTAGATGTCTGTTTGATAACTAATAACTAATTATAAGGCCTTCTTTGGTGGAATGGGGCTAGGTTGCCAGCCCCAGTTCCAGGAGAGCCCAGAGTGGACCTGAACCCAAAACACTAGAGTGTGCTAGGTGGGCCTGGGTGTGGCTGGCTGCAATTTATTTTTACTCTGGGTTCTGGGTCAGTAGTTTAGAGATGCAGAGATGGTTCAGTCTGTTAAGTGCTTGCCTGAAAATATGGGGACCCGAGTTTACCCCCCTCCCCAACCCATTTGGGAAAGAGAACAAAACAAAACAAAGGGAAAAAAAAACCCAGCTTGGCATGATGGTGTGCCTATAACCTCAGTACAGAGGCGAGAAAGTCAGGTGGGACCCTACAGCAAAGTCTAGGCCAGTGAGACCTTGTCTCAAGGGTCAGGTGGGTGGATTTGAGCTGGAGACATAGTTTCCTGGCTAGACACTTGTTGTACAAGCCTGATGACCCAAGTTTGATCCCTGGGACCCATGGAGAAGTGGAAGGAAAGAACTGACTCCACAATGTTATCCTTTGACCTCCTCACGTGTGCCTTGGTATGCGCATACTCCATCTGCCTCTACCGCAACAATAAATAAACAGAAATTTATAGAATGAAGACGGATGGAGCCTGAGGCTTGAGGAATAACACCTGAGGATGTCCTCTGGCCTCCACATGTCCTCACTATACAAACACATTCACCCCCATGAACACACACACACACACACACACACACACACACACACACACACACAGGGGTGGGGTGGGGTTAGCGTTAACTATTGACCTAGAGTGTGCGATATACTTGCCTCTCTCCTCTGAGCCTTGATTTTCCGCTGGAAAATGAGGAGACGATCCAGGCTGCTCCGCCGTCCTCTACTGCAGCTCCAGGAATCTGACTGTGTGGACTTTCTTCCTCCTGGCTGGTGTTCAGTTCTGCTGTAGCTTTTCTGAAGGAAGCTGGGAGTCATGAGATGAACTGAGTCCCCTCAAAATACACGTTGGCCTAGGGTCTCAGCAAGTTAAAAGGAGGCCTTCAGGGCGAGACCTGACACAGGACGGCTGGATAGAGACGTGTGAACACACCGAGGGAGGACCATGGGAAGACAATGGAGTGGAGACGGTCATCCGCCAGCCAAGGAGAAGCTTTAGAAGTCAATACTGCCAACGTCTTCATCTTCGCCTTCCAGCCTCCATGCTGAAGACCCCAGTAGGTGGTACCCTGCTACAGAAGCCCAAGATAATACAGCGGGCTCTAGCAACTTTTCTTGACTTTGAGAGCAATTCTATGTGTTTTTCTTTTCCCTTTCTTTCTTTCTTTCTTTCTTTCTTTCTTTCTTTCTTTCTTTCTTTCTTTCTTTCTTTCCTTCCTTCCTTCCTTCCTTCCTTCCTTCCT